TATATATATATATTTGACATATAACATTGTGTAAATTTAAGGTGTACAACACCTTGATATGATATATGATTGACATTTTAGTAGTAATTAGCACCCTTAGAAATCCCATAATTATCATTTTTTATGCTTAGAATAATTAAGATCTAGTCACTTAACAAGTTTGATGATTGTAAGAGGATAGTAAATATAGACAACAATACTGTAATATAATCACCACTTAACTTTTAAGATTATAGAATAAACAATATTTCCATGATGAATTACAGACTCTTTTTCAATTCACACAAAATTATAACACACACACAAACATTCTGTAAAATGACAGTAATTCTTCCCTTTTTAGCATAAACAGAAATCAGAGCAATAAGATCATACGTAAGTTATCACCTACTTAAACTTATGAGTACTTAAATTTGCCTTATTGTNTAACACACACACAAACATTCTGTAAAATGACAGTAATTCTTCCTTTTTTAGCATAAACAGAAATCAGAGCAATAAGATCATATGTAAGTTATCACCTACTTAAACTTATGAGTACTTAAATTTGCCTTATTGTGAAACAGTGGACTTATTAAGCTTTCATTAGGATATGAAAGGCATGTTTTAAAACAATAGTTATAACAAGCTTATGATGACACTTGGATAGAAATAAAATTAGAAATTAATTAAAGGACCCATGTGAATTATTATAACACACCCATCTTCCTGAGAAGTTAGTCCTCTATATTTGTGTGTAGAGATAGGTTCATTGTCTTGAGCACCTTTTTTTTTTTTAGAATTTACATCATGTTCAGTAGTTTAGCCAGTATCAAACCTTGACTTTAACCCAAAGTAAAATTCAAAATAAATTTGATTATAACATCATACAAAATCTAAGGTTTAGGTTAGATACCAATCTCAAAATGATGTCAATATGTATTCAAGTTTAACAATTTAAAGCTCAAAGGAAGAAAATGTATACTTTTAAAATAACTTTGGTAGTGTTATTACTACCTAGTATGAAAAGGAATCATCTCTACTGATGTTTCAATATAGTTACCTTTCCCTGTGCTTGTTGGGTCTTGCTTGGCAGTAGGTTGAACTGGCTTCTCAGCTGTAGAGAAGACTCAAGGTAAATAATGGGAAGGCTAATTAAAGGGTGTTATAGTGCCTTATATCATGTGATTTATTTTCCTCCTATGTTTTACCCAATAGGAAGAAGACAAAAAGGAAAGATTTGATGACAGCTGGGTTATCTTTGGGTCAATCTTACTTAATGAAATGGAAAGGGGGAAATAAAGTTGCCATTCATAAAGCTTGAAAAGAGACTATTCACGCTTTTTAAAGAATTACTTTTTTTGTTTTACGAAGATATATAGAAGCATTTTAAAAAATATTAATTGCATTCTTAACCAACTAATCCCATGTATTTGAATTTAAAATGATTGTTAAAATGCAAAATAGCTAGCCACAACACTTTCATATTTTAAATACTTCTTTTTAGCTTAAGGACCTGGATATCAGGAAACCTGACATATATTATGAGCTGTGGTTGGACTTTTTCCTCCTACAATTACAACTATTAATTTTTTAAAATTAGAAAAGTTACCATCTCTTACACACCCAAGTGCAATTTCTTACAAGTTAAATCCAAATATAAAATATTTTAATCAATATAAAGTAGGAAGTCATTAGCATTTGAGCTGTAACATGTATTCTTAAGTAAGTTCATGGTATAAGTATTTAATATATAAGCAATCAACTTGCTGATTTTTAACGTTTTATGAATCAGAGTTGTTTTCAGATTTTTAAATTTCAATAATATAGGTGAACCATTCTGGATGTACAAAATTAAATTATTAAATTGGGGGTAATTGTTCTGTTTAAATGACAGCTATTTCTGAAATACTACCAATATAGGGGCTATTTTGGTAAAATACAGTTAACCAAATAATTTGCCTAATAACTCAGGAAAGAATATTTTCTTTTGCTTGCATTTCTCTGGGAAAAATGTTGACTGTGGCTTCAATTTAGCTGTGAAGTCCTGGTGTGATTGAGGTGTTTACAGGAATCCATATAGGACTGCCAGAATACAAACAAGAAATAACATCAGCATTATGGTTATTTTTACATTCCTCTCTTTTTCTTAGAAGTATTTCATGTCTTAGAAAGTTAGGAACAATGTTCAGAACCCTAGAATGTTTATCCAGTTTATACAGAGTAAGCTAAGATTTTCTATTTCTCAGAATAGTTGGCTTTTGCTGTTCAGAGAAAAATGTCAGAGTTTCAAAACTGCTAAAATGAGAGCTGTTCAAGTAACAAGACCATCATTCTATTTGGATTGTTTAGTCACACCATTTTCCTTTGGTTGTGGTGATTAAGTGATAGTTGGAAGATTATGATTTTGTCAAT